ACCCCGTATCCAGTGCCTGAGTTTGAGTTCTGGCTCTGCGTCTGATTCCAGTTCCTGCCAGTGTCCCTCTCGGGAGGCAGCAGGTTAAGAGCTGAGTCCCTGACACCCATGAAGCAGACCCAGGTTCAGCCCAGCCCAGCCCAGCCCAGCCGCAGCTGCCACAGGGATTTGGGAAGAGAATCAATGGTTGGCAGATCTCCTCTCTTTTCGGTAAAAAATAAATTAAAAATTCTAAAGAACACCATAGCTTAGTAGCTAAATCTTTACCTTGCATGTGCCGGGATCCCATATGTACGTCGGTTTGTGTCCTGGCTGCTCCATTTCCCATTTAGCTCCCTGCTTGTAGACAAAGCCTGGCTCCTAGCTTCAGATTGGCTCAGCTCTGGCCATTGTGGCTACTGAGAGAGTGAAGCAGTGCATGGAAGATCTTCTTCTCTGTAAATCTGATCTGCTGAAAAAAAAAAATCCCAAACGGGGGCTGGCACCACGGCATAATAGGCTAAGCCTCTGCGTACAGCACTGACATCCTATATGGGTGCCAGTTCAGGTTCCTGCTGCTCCAGCATTGCAGCCATTTGGGGAGTGAACTAGCAGATGGAGGATCTCTCTTTCTCTCTGTGTAATTTTGACTTTTAAATTATATATATAAATCTCCTTAAACAAGAAGAGTGTGCAGGGGTGGGGACTATGGCCATGGAGTCTGCTCACAGGTAGAGGAAATGAGGAACCAGTTCTCCCTGCTAACAAAGAAGACTATAAATATGGACATGGAAAACACAAGACCCAACTTTCTGGCATGAGAGGCACTAACCTGAGCTCTGTGCCTCAGTTCATATCCACAGATACAGATATGCTCAAGATACATCCAGGAGTTGTTCTGTTCTTGCTACATTGGATGAAAGCAGTCACGATTCAATGTTATTACTCATATTTAATTATATAAGCTAGGTTACTTAAGTAATTTAAAAAACTGACAGAATTTTAGAAATAGATGGGAAAAAAAAAAACCTTAATGAAGGTACATAAGAAAAACATAGAGCAAGTGGTGGTGGTATCTTTGGCCTAAAGGTTAAGATGCTGGCTTATTACATTGCCCATGTTCTGTATCGGAGTGCCTGGATTCAGGTCTTACTTCTTGCCAATACGCACCTGAGAGGTAGCAGGTGATGGTTCAAGAGGTTGGGTCCCTGCTATCTGCACAGGAGATCCGCATTGAGCTCCTGCTCCTGGCTTTGACCTGACCTAGCCAGGAGCGAACCAGTGGACGGCAGCTGTTTCTAACTGTCTTGTCTTTGCCTTCTTCTTTGTCTTTCAAATTAAGAAAACCAGATTAGACCACATACAGTTGTGGGGGAGCTCGGGCACTGTCTTTGACACTGGGAAACTAGCACATGTTCCTGCTAATCGGACTGCAGTCAAAGAGTCCTGAAGAGCCTGGCTACTGCATTAAGACCGTTGAAGACAGGCTTAGAAAAGGATAAACAAATGCTGAATCAACAATCTAGGGTAAGTAAAACAGAATTTAGCAAAGGTTCTCCTCTACACCAGCAGTAGCCAACTAAAAAAAACGCCACAAAAGCAACCATAAAATATTTAGGTACTATGTTAATAATGTACACACAAAGAACTTATTCACAAAAGTTGAAACTCAGTAATAGAAAACAAAATATCAGCTACGGATATGGTGCTATGCCATGATCATATGATATCAGTAAACATTTAAAAAATGCAAACTTTTGTGAGGTTAACTATAAGATCACCACACTTTCAAGAAAATTTCCATCACGATGTTCTCAATGACCTAACAATTGTAGAATTTGTTTACAAGCATAAAAATCTGAATCAGTTTTTTTTTTTTTTTTTTTTTTAAATCAAGAGTGAGGTTGACAGGAGTTTGGGGAGGAGTTGCTTTATCCATCAGAGCATTCATGAGACATACACGGAGCCACAGTACGAAAAGACATGAAGTGCAGGTCAGACACATGCAGTGAAGCCATGGACTGGGCCCTCTAACGCAGACCCAGGGCTGTGTGGAGCTGGAGACACGGGACAGGCAACTCTAGAAAGAAGCAAGTAAATGGGGGAGATTGTTTAGCAGATGGGGATGGACCTACTGCCTACTTCAGGGAAAATGTGCTGAGCTTCAGTTGGACTAAAAGTCCAAGAGATAAGTTTATAAATCTAAAGGGAGAAAATACGAAGCAGTAGCTTAGTGATAAAAAAAAAATTATATTTCAGAAGTAGGGGCTGGAGAGAGAGTTCCCATTGCTTGATCACTCTTCCATACACCAGGGCAGAGGTGTGTAGAGGTTTCCTGAAGTTGGTTTTGGCCAGGAATTGGGAATTCAATGCAGATCTCCCACATGGACGGCAGGGATGATGATGTGAGCCATTCATGCTGCCCCATCAGGGTCTGCACAGGCAGAAAACTGGACTCTGAAGCCAGTGCCTGGAATCAAACCCGGTCTCTTAGATACTTCCTGACTGAAGCTCCTCCCACAAGAGGTGGAGCCTGAAATTGCTTCCACAAAAGGATGCAGAGGAAGTGCCACCCAGGGACTTGCAAGCCAGAGGGTTTAAACAGATAGAAGCTCTTCCCTCTTGGGGCCTGACTGAGTTACAGTGGAAAGGGAAGCCTTTGAAGTTGTCAGTGAAACAAGACCACTCTGGGGTGCATCTGTGTCTGCAAACGGTAGAGGACATTTGTACTGTCCAGTTTGGTCCAAGCCAACCATGGACGGATGAACTATTATAAGAAGCTCCTCTCTAGGACCCTCAGCTTCATTATGTCACCATAGATAAGGTTATTTTGAGGATTAAAAGGGGATAAAAAGTTAATCATTCTTTTTTTGCTAAACGTTGATTTGAAAAGCAGAGCAACAGAAACAGGTCTTCCATCTGCTGGTTCTCTCTGCAAAAGCCTGCAGCTTCCAGACTTGAGCCAGGCCAAAGCTAGGAGCCAGAAACTCCACTGGAGTCTCCCATGTGGATGACAGAGGCCCAAGTATCTGAGCTATCAGCCGCTGTCTTACAATGTGCACACCAATAAGATGCTGGACTAGAAGCAGAAGCAAGGTAGGATCTCATACAGTCTGATATGGAATTCGGGTGTCCCAAGCAGTGACTGAGTCCACTGTATCTCCCTGCCCATACACCCATCTGAAAATGGGATTTGGAAAGTGGGTAGTGAATGGCTTGTAGGAAATGCATGACACTGTACATTTGTGAGAAAAAGAGCAGGGTCCTGCTGCCTGGTGGTAGCTGACCCCACAGAAGGTTGTCAGGGGTAGGGATGAGGAGAGGGCAGGGAAACTGTGTGTCACACCCCTACTTTGCCCTGTATAGTGTTCACCTGTAGCCTTTTTAATATCCTTTGTAATAAGCCAGTAACAAACACGCTGGCTGTCAGCTTCCCCAGAATGAATGTCCCTGAGGAAATCCAAGGCCAGAAGTTGGATTAACACAACCAGGAGCACAGCGTGGGAAGCATCAGTCGTTCCTGTGCACAGGAAGCCAAGGCAACTAAAAAGTGCATGCCCTTTTCCAAAACAAACAAAAGAAATAATTGAGATATTGCGCCATGGATTGAAATGTATGATTAAGTTGGCCTTGGGTATCAGATGTCCGCAGATAACGTAGAACAAAACCTTTGATCGTTCCTGTCCATTCAGTTCCTTGGTGGGGAACTGTTACCTGGGTAGGTGAAAAGTGTGTTCCTAAGGTAAGAATTTCTGAAAGCAGGAGGGCCTCTGATTTAACTTTGTGCCCCAGAATGTAGTGTTCCCACCAAGGCACTCAGCATCTGGTCTGTCATTCCTGCATTGCTCTTCTCTCTGGGGATGCAAAAATCTGATGGACCTCTGCAGTACTAGACTCAGAGCTGGCAACATTAGTGATGAATTCTTACTTAGCTATAGGTCAGTATCAGGAGACACAAGAAATACACAACTTCAACGTAATTCCCAAAACCCAAAGCAGTCAGCAATTTCAACTCCCAGAAGGCTCTCTTAGAGTTCTTTTTACTCCCCAGCACAGTCTTACACAGATATTTAATTGTTTAAATTAGCTCCTCTTCATTTCACAAAGAATTTACAATAATGTTTTTATGCTCTTTTAAATTATTCAGAAATGATTTATTTATTTGAAAGGCAGAGTTACAGCAAAAGAAAGGGAAAGACAGAGAGATCAAGAGCTTCCATTCCACTTTCCAATGTCCAGGGCTGGACCAGATGCAAGCCAGGTGCTTCATCTAGGTCTCCCAAGTTGGCACATGAGCCCGAGCACTCAAGCTATCTTCTGTTTTTTTTTTTTCCAGGTGCATTAGCAGGTAGCTGGTTTCAAAGTGCAGCAGCTGGGACTTGAACTGGTACCTACAGAGAATGCTGGTGCAACAGGGCACAGCTCAAACCTCTATGTTTGGCTGGCCTGGTCAGGATCAAGTCTGATCCATCACTGTCCAAACAGATTTGCTCTAAAATAGTCCCCAGTCCTATTCCACCTGCCAACCCAATGTGCACTCTGATTCTCTGTTACCTAGTGCTATAGCCAGCATGCCACATGGCTGCTCAGAGCGCTCTGGACAGAAGTGGGCAGGAAGCCTGTGCTGGTGTCATTTCCCACTGTTTTTCTTCCTCAGACAGTCCCAGCATTGGGATAGTCTTGAGTGTGGATGGCATCAGAAGCTACCTGGGGTGTTGGAAAGACAGAGGGACACAAACAGGAAGGCTGAGGTGGGCACAGATCAGATATCTGGCCAGTGGGGGAGGAACAAGCCCTGGTAGGCAACAGAGGCTGCAGCCCCATGTGATTCCACTTCTGCTTACTTCTACAGTGTGCGTGCCCTGAACCAGATGTTTTCACTAGAGATGAAGTGACTTTGGCCATAGTTCAACCCAAAGTGACACTGCAAGGGATGGTCCCGCACTTGGGCAGGAGGGGACCAGGCTCATGGAGGAAACATTAGAAACTCCTGACACAGATAATTTCTTTGTTTCTAATTGAATTTTACAGTCTATCTGCATGTTGGCTGGGTTCTTAGACGAACTGTAGGGTTTGCATAGTTGTTCTTCATGTTCTCCCTTATGACAGCACTCAGAAATCCCTCATGCCCAGGGAGATCAGGGCAGGGCAGGTCAGAGACTGCAGTACTTGGTTAAGTTGTGGCCCAGAGCAAAGAGGACAAAGCAGATAGCTGTGGTCGAGGTCAGTGGAAGCTAAGCAGTAAGCAACAGGATCCTTCACCTGTCCCTGCCCTGATCCCTTCCTACTGCAAAAACAAAGGAGCCAAGAAGCTAAGGAAGAGTATGAGGTTGGCATGGTTGCTGGCAACTGGCCTGGCACCTGGGTGTCAGGGAGCCCAGATCAGGTCTCCCTTCCTCTAGGTAGGCATGGCCCTGGGCATGGGGGCAGAGCATGGAACCTAGCCACCACCTGTCTTCACGCCCTCATACTTGGGTGCCTGAGCACATTTGCTGCACTTCCCAAAAACCCAGAGGACATGGAGAATCCTCCAAGAATTCACAGCATCCTGCATGGCCCTGTTCTGGCAGGCAGCAGAGGTCCCAAGCTGGTGACTCCTGAGGCAACCTGCCCCTGGCATCTGGGATGCTGCTTTGCTTTCCAGGGTGGGATGCACATGCTGGGATCAGAGGCCAGTGAGTGGTAAGTAGCTGAGCCATTCTGGTGCTAGGGGCCCCAGTGAACTGCCTGGGTCCTGCCAGTCTGTAACAGTTTGTATCACCACCTCTCACCTTACACACCAGGACACAGGAACTCTTGTGCCGGCCAATCTCAGCAGGAAGCCTGCCACTTCATGATTCATCTGAGACACAAGGATCAAGGGCATAGTTTCATGAATGGCACTGACATGCAGCCAAGGGGTATCCAGGGTTTACCAGAGAGTGGAGGGACCAAGGCTGGGTGGGCCATACTTATCAGGTATGTTTCGAGCTCGCAGTACACAAGCTCACAAGTTGGACTCTTTGCTCTGGAAATTTACTGTGGCAGCTGCACTGCAGCCAGCGGTGTCCAGCATTTTAAAAAGGTCAATTAAGGAACGCTTGATGGTGCTGCTGCTAATGACAGCCTAGAGGGGTTAGCAGGGTGGCGTCAACAGAATAGCCGAGATGTATATTACTGGGATTCAAGTGCTGAAGTGAAGCGTGCTGGGGAGGAAATCCATTGTCACAAGCCATAAAGCACATCTGAGTTTTGCAGCCGAGAGCCATGCAGCTGTTTCCCTCCGCAGGCCATGTGTGGGGGCAGCCTGTGAACGAAGGGTTAGTCCCACAAAGGGGACGCCTGTGCTGGCTCCATCCATCTGTGGGTACCACTTGCTCCCTTCTCACTGCACAGTTTGCTCTCTGGCTTTGGGAGCACAAGGCAGATGCTCTGAATGTGGGTCATGTTCTAGAAACCCTGGCTCACAGGGTGCCTGGGTGGGCAGACAGCTGGGATGAGGCACCCATCACAGCTGGTGCTTTGTTGGTAAGAGACTTGGGTTCCCTGGTCCTGCTGTACACAAAGCAGGCAACAGATAAGACCCCCAACTCTGCCATGGATAAAAGGGCCACCCGAAGCCCTTAGAAAAAGTCTATTTTGGCCTGTGAAAGAATTGGCTCACAGCTAGGGAAAGGCACTACATAGGGCTCCTTTTTTTTTTTTTTTCACTATCAGACAAAAGGGTCTCCCGACTAGGTGCCTGGCCACTAGGACTGGCTTCTCCGCTGTATCTACCTGTCAAGCTGGAAATTCAATAGAGCAATGGGAGTGCTAATTGATATGCAAAACAGGTCTCAGGTTCCTAGAAATGTCTAATGATCCTCCAGTTCATTGCAAATGCAGAATTAAGACATCCACTCAAGGAGATGGGAGTTAGAACAACAGCCTTTATGCTTTCCCCATTTTTTTTTTTAAAGCTACTTTGGGAAACTTCGCAGGTTTTATTATTTAAAAAAAAAAAAAGAATGAGAGAGTATTGCAATCAGTGGGATTTGTCTTTCACACACTGGATATTTATTATTAGAAAATATCTTCTATCAGCTCTCGGTACCAAACAAGTTTTCTTAAATTTTTTCCTTCTTAATGATATTTAAATAAACAGCTCACCGGGTGGACAGTTGTCATGCCTTTTTCTCTCTTTAAAACCTGAATAGTTAAGTGAAATTTAGTATAAAACAGCCTTCCAACACAAGTTGCTCTGCAGTCTTTGTACTATCTCCTTGAATAAGGGACAGGAACGAGATGAAAAAGACAAGTCAGCCTATCAGAATACCCCCCGAGAATCCACAGTAGAAACTGTGGAACAAGCTAACCCAAATGAAGCCCATTCAAACCAAGAAACCAGTTTTTACATTGGCCTTTCCATTTTGATTATCATCTAAGTTTAATATATATATATATTTATATATTTGAAATAGTAATAAAAAAGGAAGAATTGAATTGCACCCTTAGCACAACAATCTTCCCCATATGTTAAAGAGGTGTTCAGAAAATCCCATACAGTATCTGCTAAATAAACATGTTTGGCAGCTCAGCAAGTATCACATGAATGCAGCATCCATGATTTGAAGTCAAACATAATTTGCTTTCTTCTGGCAGGTTTCGCTGCTCCAGGGGTTGCAGGTTAATGTGCCTCTGGATGTTTTGATCCTCAGGCCTCAGGAGGAACCGGAGGCGGCTTGGTGCATTGCCCCAATGCAAAAACTTTCAGGCTCCGGACAACGTGTCAACCAGTCAACCACACATGTCACACAATTGTCTCCTTGGAGTTCCTCTTGACTGAGTGCAGGCCCAGCAAAGACTGCTGGTTGGAAGGTAAGTGGACAGACTTTGGAATGAGGAGAATCACCCTCTGATTGGTCCGACGCCATTCGTTGTATAATCGACAGTGGTACCTAAATGACACCTGGGGATGGCAGAGGGAAAAATAAGGGGTTCAGGTGAGCAGAAGTTGATCATCGCTGTCAAAAACCAGTATCTCTTCAAACAGCTGTCCACAGCCCAAAAGGGCGATGCTGTAGTGGAACATGTACTCCTGGGCAAGATGACTGACTCTAGCCATCTTGGCATGCTGCAAGACTGCTGACCAGCTGAGGGGCACCCTGGGTGAGCCAAAGACCTGGTGTGTGGGGTGGCTACCTGTTTCGGTTTCTTCATGTCCTAAATCGAATCAGCATGTGACAGCAAAGAGAATTCTTTCTGCATTTGGATTTGTTTTTGGGCTACTGGCATTGTGGGCCCCCAAGTGCCAGTCATGAAGCAGCCTGGCTGAAGGCAGCTGACCAGGCCGGGCTGGATGTGGCTCATGTTCCTGCTTGAGAGACTTGGACTTCATGCTTCGGCCTGCAGGCCAGGCACTGCACAGCTCAAAGGAACCTATCCCCACGATGACTTATGGACAGCATGGGCTTATGGACAGCATGCACAACGTGATGAGTGTTTATCTCTAATTGTCTGTGGCTCTAACTCTGCAGTTGCCAGTGAGGAAGACTCAGCCTGGGTGTTCCCAACCTTGCTACGTCTTCTTGAACTGCTGGCTGGGTGAGGCACTACTTCCATGCAGTACCTTGTGCCTTTGCCCATCCTGGTAGCTGTCCAGTGTGCTATATACTAAGTATAAGTCTCCCTCTCCAGGCTTGCGAAGAACAGTCAAGAGCAGGGCTTGCATTACATTATTTTCAGACGTCCAGTGCCTGTTACTGTGCCTGGCACTTAGGAACTTGTTCAGAAGGGTTTGCTGACTGAAAAAACATCTTGGGCTTTCTGAGTGCAACACTGCTCTATGCTGAAGCTGCTCTTCTGTAACACACAGCAGGATGAGCAGTGAATTCCATGGTCAGCTGCGACCTAATTGTGCCCCCAAAGTGTTTGCTTTTCTGTAAATATTCTGGAATGAGATACTGAAACTTGCAATTGGTTGTAGAGAAGTCTGGCATAAAACACTGATGGACTGCCCAGTAATCTCAGAGCCTATACTTGGGAAGATTGCAAACTGCCTTTAAAAATGGAATAGGTGCCAGTTTGAGAGCATCCAGATGCCAAAAGGAAGATATGGGCAGAAAGCGAGCACTAATGCATCATTTGTCTGTGGGTGGGAGCTTGGTCTGGACCCCCAGAAAGGATCCAAGGAGGCTGGACAAGGGCTGACCTGATGGCTTGAGCTCAGTGTTTCTGGAAGCAGAGGGAAGCACAGGTTCTTATGTAGAAAGAGATTGTTCATCCGCATGGTAGGATCATGAAATTCAAGGCCATGCATTTAAATTTCTGAGGCTAGGAAGCAGATGCCACAGGCTGAGTGCCAGAGAGATTTGGATCTGAAAAGATAAGCTTTTAAACTCACACAAATGTGCTTTCTCCACAAGGCCTCTAACATGCCAAAGTGGATCATTTCTCCCCCCAGAGCTTGATTCTCTTCTATCAGTTCTGTCCTGCTTCTGCCTGGTGGCATTCATGCATGTCAGCGGCAGGTTGGAGAGCCTGTTGTTCAAGGTCAAGGACAGGAAAGAGCCAAAATGCAGGCAAGCACTAATGAGTCAGGAACCTGGAGATGCACAGGAGCACTGGATTTCATGTCTGGAGGCCATTCCTTTACGGTGCTGAATGGCTGGACACACACGGCACAAGGCAGCCCAGAAGTTGCCATGGGTCATATAGGTGGCAGGTCACAGACTCTAAGGCCAGAGACATTTGTTGCAATTCCCACTCTTCACCTAGGAGTTGTGCCACTTTGGGAGGCTGTTTCCTATCGACAGGCTTCAGTTCCCTCATCTGTGACGTGTAAACTGTGGCATTCGAAATAACGCACATTTCTGGCTTACCACGCAGCCCTGTACCTGCCAGTCTTCAGCTTATTGTTTTATTCTGTGATGCTCCTTAGTAGATTAAAATTGGAGAGGGAGAAACCCCTGGGCTGCCTAAGGCCTTCCTCTTAATGTGTTTATGGGTAGGAGCTTGTCAGACTCTAAGAATGAGGGGGCCCACACAAGGGAAGGAACCAGAGTATATTTGAACAAGGTCCCCAGCGGATGCGCATGTATGTCAGAGCCCTGAGAAACACCAGGGTCAGGGAACACATGGGGTCAAAGACTAAGCAGGTCCTGGTTCCTCAGCTAAGGAAAAAAAATCCACACATGTGTGAAGACACCCAGATGAAATATGCAGGCAAATCCAGTCGATTAGAAGGAAGTGTCATATGAAAGTGACTCAACCAGAATTGGAGCACAGTGCACAGTAACTATAGGCCTGCTCCAGCCCTGGGTTATTCTAGATGCTTCCTGAATTGCTGTATCATAGGCAAGAGGAAGGCTTACTTTAGAGAAATAATCAATGAGGAAACAATAATGTAAAGCAAAAAGGCACGACAGCAGTCATGTTGGAACTTCAGTTAGATATTTCTTACATTGTTGAAGTTTTAAGGGGAGAAGCAGCAGCAATAATATTGGAACACTCTTCTAAAAATATAGCCCTTAAGCCCAGGGATGGATTTCCTGGGGTGTCTTCATTCACTGACCAACCTCCTGCCATATGTACAGAGTGTGGGCATAGCAATGACACCAGAAAGGCAGAGAATATTGGCAGTCTCCAGCCCCCTCAGTGGTTGTGGCAATTGCAATGCTTTGCTGTCGAGTCCAGTGCAGCTTTGGGAAATCTTATAATTAAGCCTTTGCCTTTTGCCCTTCTTCTCTAATATTAGCATATCCACGGGGCTGGGGCTTAGGGCAGCTGGTGTCCCAGCACCAGGGGAAGATGTCACTGCAGGCTGCCAGAGGATAGGTAGCACCTGCCAGGCAGGGAGCATCCCTCCTTTAGGACAAGGATTTTCACAATCTGCAAGTAAGCCAGGGAGTGAGCCTATAAGGCTCATTTCATCTGGGCCTGTGTACTAGCTAGCGTTCTGCACCGCAATCCTCAGTATCTTACCAGTCCCTTGTGCACAGTCTTCAAACTGACATGGGCTCCCTTCTCATCCAGCTCATGTGGCATCCATGCCAATACTTCCTCTCACTTCAGATGTTTGTATCTCCTGTTCCTGAGCTCTCAGGGTGAAAGGAGCTGATACCCTGGTTTCCTGGGCCCCAGCTGTGTTTCTGACCACACCGAAGACAAGGTTCCTAGGTATGCATCAGGACTGGGCCCTCATGGCCATGTGAACCAGTGAAAAGCATCAGGTGCACCTGCTGGTGTGCAGAATGCCCTGGTGTGAGGCCCTTCCAGCAACCGCTCCCACAGGAGCCAGGCTTGGGCTGACACCATGTTTGTTTATCTAAGACACTTCCACAGCGTATTCTCCTTAAGCCTGACAGCTTGTTTACAACGGGTTTCTGCCGCCAGGCAGGTTCCAAGTGCTGTCAGCTTCTGAATTAAGGCTCTTGCCAGGGCTGCTCAGTGCTGCATTTATCTGGGAAGGAATTATTCTGTATTCAGTACCCAGTTGCTAAGCTGACTCCACAGCACGTTTTTCACACCAGTCAAAGGGGAGGAAGGCTCCTTTTTTCTGGTAATTCTGCCTTTTATGGCAGAGGGAGGTGAAGGGTGGGAGTTGGGAGAACAGGGAGGCTGAGGAAGCAAAACTGGGCTGGCCCTGTGCTGAGTGTTAGACATATGAGCACTGCTAAGCCTCCTCCATAACCACTGGTCAAGGGTTATCAAGCATTGTCTCCTCTTCTGCGTAAGAGGAAGAATGACCGGAGAGACTAAGTATCTTATTGGAGATTACATAGCTAACAGGAGGCTAAACCTTGGACCTGTCACAGGGTCTTTGGCTGTTAGTGCTGCAGGCAGTTAGTGCTGCAAGCTTTGGGGGCCTGGGTACTATGAGCACTGTCCCAAAAGCCTGGTTCCACAGTCTTTCACAGCCTCCTTTCCTCCTGAGGTGGTGGAGGGACAGCACCACAGCCAGCTTTCTCCATGTCACCTCTTTTTCCCCTTCCTGTCGTTTCTCCCTGCCTCTTTCTCCTTTATGTTCTTTTGGGTAACTTCAGGCTGTTCACAGCAGGTTTTCCCAAAGGTCTTAAAGTGGCTTTAAAAGCCCAGCACTTGTGCCTCCCCTTCCTCCTATATTTATCATAGGAACTCTCCTAAGGAAAACCACAGATGAGAAAATGTTGACTTCCAAGTGTGTATCACTACAGGAGACTATTATTTTCCAAAGTACTTCCTTGCACATTCTTTCACCTTAGTCTCACCATCCCAGGGAGACAGCCTGGTGGACCTGCCATCCTCATCTCCCAGATGAAAATATCACAGCTCAAAGAAGGAAAAGTGATTTTCCTAGAAATTCAAATACTGCCATTAGACTGTGTGATTCCTTATTTCTAGCTCTCTCCTGTCACAACAGATGCTTCCAGATCAGCTTCCTTGCCTCATTCACAATACACTGGGACACACTTTGGAAGTGTATATGCTTATATGCTTAAAGGATGCAATAAGCCTGGGAACAGCAAGGCTAAGCTAACTAGAAGACTCAGGGAAGTTCTTAGTGTGAGAATGCTCTCTGTTCAGCCAGGCTCAAGATGTGTCTCTCTTTCTGGCACTGGAGTGTGGCCCCCGACTGTCTGAAGACTCTCATGGTAGGGAAGGGTCAGAGCTGGCAGAAACCCATGATGAGCCAGAGAGGAACAGAAAGGGTCTTCGGCATGGCAGCTGATGGCCAGGGCTGGGAGGCAGATGAGGTGAGAGTGTTGGAAGCAGCTGCACGTCAGTGATGTGGGGATGGTACACAGTAGACAGGAAATACCTACTAAGTGACAATGGGATGAGGTCAGATTACGAACTAGCTGGCATCAGAAAGTACTGTTGCGAGGCAGGGGCCCAATTTCTGGAAATATTCTCAAGGACAGTGTCATCCTCCTCTGTGTCCCATTGGAAAGCAAAACGAGACTGAATGCTGTACTGGGAGGGTGCTGCCAAATGGTGCCCAGGGAATCAAGGTACATGAAGTGAAGAAATCAGAGAGGCAGATCCAATGCTTCCACACCTACACAGAGAACTCTTACTGGGGAAGGGCTTTTCTCTTGTGGCAGTTTCACACTTAGCACAGTCAATATCACAACATGCAGAGTTGGGCAAAGTCTGGCCCCATGTCCAAGCAGGACCTTGTGCTGATCCAGGATGCAAGGAAGGAATAACCAGCACGGAGGATTCACAACGTGCACAGGGGGTGGCAGTGACAGTGAACACATGCGTTATTCTGAACACAACACAATCCCAGAAAAACAGAAAACCAGGAACAAGAGAAGATGCATAGCACACCTTGTGGCAAGAGGAGTCACAGATTACCAGGGAGAAATGTCTGAGGTATGTACCTTTGGCAGATGGGCACTAAGAACCTTGGTTTTTCTTATTCATTGTAGGATATGCACAAGCAAACTTCTATCATAAACCAAACCTCATCCTCCCACCAGCAGCTGAGATGTGATATAGCCAGGAGTCAAGGCTGTGCCAGCCCTGAGGCTGTTAGCTCCAGTTGGGCTGAACCCCCCAGCCATGGGCCATACTTACTAGTGTCCAAAAGAGGTAAATAGTGAAGAGTGCGACAGTGAGTGCAATCAGTCCGACGGCTTCCAGCCGACTACTAAAGTGCAGGTGGTCCACGGCGCCTCGCAGGCACAGCCAGCCCGAGATGGTGGCCAGGGGTGTTATGAACAAGAAGCACACCATGTCTCCAAACAGAGTCCGCTTCTCATGCTGAGGACCAGGGTTTCTGAGCCACTGTTGGGGGAGGTGGGGATGAGGAAGAGAGAAAAGCAAGGGAAAAGGTTAAATGCTGGAATGGAGTAGAGAACCATTGTGAGATGACATCAAGGCATCAAGGGCTCCTTTCGAGACCCTGCCCCCTGAATGATGATGCTGATAACACTGATTTTACAGTGTCCTTCATGTGGATGACCTGATTTTCATGAAAATAGTTCAGCCTCTGTTGCAAAGTGGAGCTGATGTGGCTCTTGGAGGGTTAACAGTTGAGCTACAAGAAGCTTGCAACATGATGAAAGCTTCCCAGTGTCTTGACCCTGGGACTGTTGTCAGAAAAGGGCTAACTCAGCAGCCCTGGGTTGGACACTCCCCAGACAGGCTGTTTTCAGGACTGCCTCCCGACTAGCTCCCAAAGTTGAGCTCTGAGACCTTGTGACATTCTGCCAGGGAATAGCATTCCTCATGCCATGCCTGAGGCTTTGGGACCACACAATCCCAGCCTGATGAGACACTTGGCAGCAGCCCTGTGATCGATGGTGAATGCTTGCTTTGGCACTGGTTGCTTTTGGAGTGAGTAGCTGAGGTCTGTCTCACAGGTCTTGTGGCCTAGGTGACAGTTCCTGGTCAATAACCTGGACAATAAGGCTCAGTTGAGTGTTCACTATTGATAATGTCTTGCTTGCACTGTCACAGTGGTGGCTGGAATGGTAAAAATTTCTGGATGCCCCTGTTGATTGATCCTGGAATCCAACACATGCATTTTGCCCCCTTATGGCTTCTCGTCTGTATCCTTTTGCTGTCATGAACCAAAACCCTGATATGTATTTCCGAGCCCAAGCATCCTCCTAGTACATCTTTCAGTCTGGAGATGGTCCTGGGGATCTCTGACAGAGATCAAGACTTACCAGACTCCATGAACTCAGTAATGACACTTTCTGGGCCTTTAGGACCCCATATCTCCCCAATGAGGACCACATTTTGATACCTCAGTAACACTGCCAGGTGAATGAAGATGGGGAAAACTTTGTTGAAAAATTAAAAGACGTGAATTTCTAAACAGAGCTGCTGCCTCTGACTTGCTGACAGCTAAACCCCTGCTGGAATGTTTCCTGAAATGTATTTTATAACAACAGCAGTAGAACCCAATGGTTTCCTACTGGAGTGTGTTCACGGGTAGTGCATCTGTCGGCTTTGCCTCCCATTAGACTGGGTGCTTATTCTCAGAAAATTGGACAATGCCATTTCACTGTTCCATGTGGCCATCACAGAGGAATCCAGAGAAAGACTAAGGGTAAACAGACATGACATACTGGGGTGGGGGAAGAGACATTAGTTGGTGGTTTTCCATGTTATTTTCTTAGTGGGTACTTGGCCTGGAAGGTCAGGGCAGGATGCCGGGGAGGCATCACAGCGAGGAGAGCAGCTGTTGCTGAACTACTGGTGGGAGGGGAAGGACCATGACAAGGGAGATGAGGGAGGATGGTGTAGGCGGGAGAGGAAAGGGAAGGCCATGTTCAAGGATGAAGGAAGAGGGCTCAGCGTTGTAGTGTAGAGTCAAGCCACCACCGAAACACTGGCATCTCATGCAGTTTGAGTCATGGCTGCTTTATTTCTAATCCAGCTCCTTAATGAAGAGCTTAGAAATGCAGAAGATAACCCAAGTGCTTGGCCTCCTGTACCCATGCGGGAGCTCCAGACAGAACCCTAAGTTCCTAGCTATAGCTTGACTCAGTACTGGTTATGGTGACCATTTGGAGAATAAAGTGGCAGATGGAAGATTTTTTTAAAAAATTTATTCTTATTTTTTGAAAAAGAATCATTTTATAATCTTTCTATTTCTATGTCTTTCCCTCTTTACCTGTAACTCACCTTTCAAATAAACAAATCTTTATAAAAAGCACACATGGGCCCGGTGTGATAGGCTAATGGCTACAGTCCTTGCCTTATATCTGCCGGGATCCCATATGGGCACCAATTTGTGTCCCAGCTACCCATTTCCCATCAATCTCCCTGCTTGTGACCTGGGAAATCAGTAGAGGATGGCTCAAAACCTTGAGACCCTGCACCTGTGTGGGAGACACAGAGGAGGCTCCAGGCTCCTGGCTTTGGATTGGCTCAACTCTGGACATTGTGGCCACTTGGTGAGCGAATCAGTGGATAGAAGATCTTTCTCTCTGTCTCAACTTCTCTCTGTAAATCTGTCTTTCCAATAAAAATAAATAAACAAAATATATTTTTTAAAAAGCACAAATATATAGCTAACTGTTCTGTGATTCTAAACAAAACATTATATTTAACATAAACACAAGAATTTTTGAGAGCAAATGACATTAACCCTGCTGTGTGTAGCCATTTGCCTTAGACATTTAAGTGGCCTCAAAGAAATTCAAAGTGCTCTAATTTTTGTTGTTGAAATACTGGGCCTCTTGTTATGAAGTAGATGACAGAAATAGAGCATTTTTACCCCAGTTTTACAGAGGTACAGCAAAGTTCAGTGACTACCTCAAGTGATCCAGAGATTAAGGTGGGAAGAGATTCACGACCTTTGCTCTTATTCAGATGTATCCTCAGTGAAGTAAATTGGAAAATTGATGTTGCAAGATATTTAGACATCCTGATTTTTAGAACAATGGAGCTCAACTGTCACAGCCCCAACTCCCCTGCAGTCTGGGTTTTCCCTGAGAGCACACAGAAGTCAGTGTGATGATTTCATCCCTCCTCTGGCCATGGTTCTCCACACACACACACACACACACACACACACACACACACACACACACACACACACATACACACAGAGCCACAGGTGACCTTCTTGTCTTCAGTGTCTACGGCTTTCCTTCTTTCCTTGTTCTTAAACTCACAGCACCTTATTTACCTACCATGGTTCAGTGTGATGACTCAGGCATGGAAGGGGTAATTATGAATCACTAATTATCATTATCCAAGGTCAAGTCACTGTGCAAAGGCAGACCAGGCGTCAGGCTGGCTTGAACCTTATTTCCTGTTTCCTAACTGTTCTGTGACCTGGCTATTCCTGGGAAATTTCCAGGTTATTTTATTATCCCTGATATTCAATCTTTGGATTCCACACCTAATGTTCTGTATTTCCTGGGACTTGGTTAGCTATGTGTTGTCTGCTGTGTACCTCCTTAAGCAAGTATACTGTAAATGTTCCAATCTGCTTGTTCTCTAGAGCCCCAGGTGCCACTCATCCCTTGGACACATGCAGAAATGTGACAAGAACATACGCACTAATCTGTTATTGGGAAAAAGAATGTCCTGAGCCCCAGTGAGATTATCATGAAAGTATCTAAGTAGATTGATTCAGGGAATTTATACAAGCAGGGTTTGTGGTAGAAGATTCAATTCTAGTTTAAAGTTTCAGTAGGCTGGAACTGTCACAATACCAAAAATATCATATAGTAATTACAAAGGGTAATGTATAGTTTATATTTACTGACATATATTACTACGTAGAAAAAAGTCCTACTGAAAGAATGCCACCGTTGTACACAAATAATGATGTAGTAACACAGCCAGAGACATTCATGTTTACATACACACATATTTCCACAAAGACCACAGGGACACCTGGCAGACACAACAGTGGCTATTTTTGAGGGCAGCACAATTGTTCTGTATGTATTTCTTTTTTTTTTTTTAAAAAATACAGGTGGCCAGTGCTACAGTATAGTAGATAAAGCCACTACCTGTGGTGTCAGCATCTGATATGGGCATTGGTTTCTGTCCCGGCTGCTCTACTTAGGACCTAGCTCTCTGTTACTGAACTGGGAAGGCAGTATAAGATGGCTCAAGGACTTGGACCTTTGCACCTACACAGGAGCCCCATTAGAAGCTCCTGGCTCCTGGTGTTGGATTGGCCCAGCTCCAGCTATTGAAGTAATATCAGGAGTGAACCAGCAGATGACGGCTCTCTGTCTTTCAAGTATATGAATAAATCTTTAAAAAGTATATGCACACAGGGTCATATGCATATAGATACACATATGTATGTATATGCATATGTATACCTATGTTAGGGGATAGGGGTTAGGGAGTGGGAGGAGGAGGAAGAAGCACAGAGTGGGAGGAGGAGGATCTCAAACATTCTAATCTGTACAAGTTGGATATTTACTTATTGAGACCCTCTGATGTAAGACACCAGTTAATTTCTCCTGTCACTTGGACAGCATAGGCAGCTAAAATACCATTCTTGAAGAATCTTCATGTCTGACAGCTGTGCTTCCAATGCCAAGGTCAATGGCAGAATGCTACCTGGTGCGGCATTTTGCCCATATGGCTGCCAGGAACTAGGTGAGTGGCCTCAGGCATCCTTCTTGCCTCTTGCTCTCTGTTCCCTCAACAACACAAAGCAGGGAGCACAGTGCTGACTGCCTGGCAGTGAGCCGCCCATGTGTCTGTGGAGATCTCATTCCAGTCACTAGCTTGCTCCTGAAGCATGAGATTGATCTGTTCTTGGAAATAAGCACACGGAAGAAAGAAACACAACAGAAACCTTGCCTTAATCAGCACCACAGGGCCCGAGACAGCAGAGAGAATTAAAGCCTCACATTACTGCCGGTGACAGAGCATCATTTATGGCTGGAAACGGACACTGTAGGTGAGCCAGGTGCCAGTGGCTGCTGTAAAGGTGTTTTCAGCTGTAGGCTTGGGTCTAATCACAGTGCCAATGTGTTCAATTCTTTCTTGTGAGGGTCCAGGGGGTATGGGCTGTGGGGCCTTCCAGACTCTGGGTTAATCGGCTTAAATCCCTGAGGTAGACAGGACACAGTGCAGGTCAGTTTGTGCTAGATTACACTCAGGTGGCTAATAGCTCTGATCGACTGTAACCTTTCCCATGAATCTCCTTAATGAGAAACCATCATGAGGATAGAGGACTGATGGGGTGGTGGTGGTGGGGGGTGCGGATTGTAACAAATGTTCGGAGCTGGAATTAAAAAAAAAAAAAAAGAGCTGGTCTTACAATGTTTACTCACTTGGACTTATTTGCCTGA